AGGAATCCTCATATAAACGATTTGACAGAAGCAAAAGCGAGGCTAAAATTTCAGGTCATCATCCACATATTTGGAACGTATGAGGTAATCCTGTGGCAAGCATATTTTCACCTTTTTCTCCAAGTATCAGGGGTTCCTGTGTCTACACAGGGAAGGTGTTCTGGATTTCTTTTGTGTTGTGTAACAGAACTCACCTCACAGCGGATCCCTGGGGGGGGGCTCCACTACCTTTGCTCAGACACAAGCACACATGTATGCACACACAGAGCTCCCTGAGTCACAGGGTGGAACCCTTGCATGCATAAAGGCTGCTTTGTGCCTCGACTGTTAGAGCTGTCAACCAACACCATCCAGCTCCCCGCTCTGAAACCCCTCTGTTCCTCTCGGCGAGTGGGCAGACTGCACTTTCATGTATGCCCACATTAAATATATCTGCATCTCCTTCAATCTGCAGGTCAGTGGCTTACAAATTCAACCATCATTCAAATCCAAGACTGTTGGGTTTAAAAGAGGTGAGGAGGTTTGAAGCTAAGTGCACTTAAGGAGAGTTTGATTCCCAGAGGTGTCAGGGCATTCCGCAAAAAAACTGCAAGTTGCATTGATATGTTGAAAGAATTCATTATTATATGATCAGCCTTCATGTAGGTCTAAAAATAAATCTCCAGAGCAAAGACAAGCTCAGGAAAAGCTAACTGCGTTGAGCTGAAATTGGCCACTCTTTAGATATTTCTCTTTGATAATGTTGACTTTCTCGCCCTATTATTAGTAGAAATAAAGATGTTTAATCAAAAACAAGCATAAGGCTTATGAAATCTGGCTGTAGAGGCCTGGTTAGGGAGATCTGGGGGAAAAAGATGGAGGGACATCGCTATAGCTCAAAAAATGCAAACTCTTAACAAGTTATACATAAAACATAGGATGGGGAAACAGAAAAAGGTACTATCCCTTCTTTACTTCTTAATAAATGATGAAAGAGAAGCCAAATAAAACACAAAACTTTTGTTGAGTTAGTTATGAGACCTCTGAGACAAACTTATGCTACATGGAGCAAAAGCTTCTGTTAAATGAGGAAGAATACTCCACTGTTATTGAAACTGCTCTCTATTTTAACAGGCTCGATTTTTGTCATCCTGAGAGTTGGTTGAGGACAAAGAGAGTTCACTTTTTTGTTACCTGGTAAGGCAAGGCAAGATGAGTTTATTTCTACTGCTCATTTCATTGTCCAGCCTGTTCAAAGTGCTGCAGATTAAAAAAAAAAAGAAAAGAAAAAGAAGGTACAGTGCAGTGGCATAGAGGTAGCATAAAAAAGGTTAATAAACGAGACATTTAAATAAGAGGATTGTAAAAAAAACAATATATAACCATTGATAATGAAAGATGAAAAAAATTTAATGATAACAGAAAATGGAGCAAAAGTTAGACTGAAAACTTAATCTAAGGCCACTCTTAACAAATACTTTTTGATTCTCAATTTAAAGTAGCTGAGGTTTTAAGCGCAGTTTCCTGGAAGTTTGGTCTTTTTGGTTCTGGGTATGCATAGTAGATTTGATCCAGATGACATGAGAGGTCTGGGTGGTTGATCCACTGACAACAAGTCTGTAATGTATTTTGGAGCAAAGCCAATCAGATATTCATGGACTAACTGAATTCCAACAGTATTCAACTGTATTTTAGAGTCCATTCCCAAATACGTGGGAATCCAGGGAAAGGACTTTAGAACTGGGCTGATGCTCCCACTTTTCTTAGTTTTAGTAAGGAAGCAGGCAGCAGCATTCTGGATCAGCTGCAGCTGTCTAATCCACTTTTTCAGGCAGATTTTCGAAGAAAAAAAAACACTGCAATGATTAATTCTGCTAAAGATGAAAACTGGACTTTGTTTTTCAAGGCCCTACTGAGGCATTAGTCCTTTAATCCTGGAGATGTTCTTTAGGCAATAGAAGGAAGACCTTTTTACTGTCTTTATGTGTATCTAAAGGTTTAGATCTAATTCAATCATTTCACCCTGATTTAGAGCTTGATTTTGTATTTCTAGTTAGATTTGCTGAAGGGGTGTGATAACTTTTAAAAGCTCTTCTTTTGATGCAAATCTTTTAATTCAGTTTTATCTTGATTTTTCTGAAGAATATTTTGTCCAACAATGCATTGATTTCTACTCTGAATTTACCTCATCGTCACCTGGTTTTATCTAATGTACAGCTGTCTGTCATTTGCATCGTTATGGTTGCTGATGTTCTTGTTTGTTAAGGTCTTATTATCAAGACAAAAAAACATTGTTGTTTAGGTCCCATTGAATTACCCCGGTTGGCTTTCAATTAAGGTCTTTAATTCAGAGCTGATTCTTTCTCTTCTTTATTTTCTGGTGTTTATGAATCTAACAAATACAGCAATTTTTCCACATACAGAAGCAGCAAAAGCAATCTCTCCAGGATGTGGCCTCCTGAATGAGATGTAAAACTGACAGAAAGGACACCATCCAAGTTTCTTTGACAGACTTTTTTTCTTTTCTTTTTGGTTATCTTTGTCTTACATTAATATTTTTGATAAAATGATTTTGATTATATTCATATTACATGATACAGAATTTATCACTGTAGGTCAAGTTTGTATAATCTTTCATTTTTTATTTTAACATTATGCACACCACTTAGGGGATAATGGTTAATTGGAGCATTGTTTTGGTAATTTTGTATGTGTTTTTGGTCTTCTTTGATATCTTGTTTTGCGGGGTAGTTTGTAGAGATGAGTCAGTATCAGTGCCATATAATATATTTAAGAGTTCCTAATCTTTGCTTGATCACTGTTCTAGTAATTTAAGTATTGGATAATTGTTCCTATTTTTTATATCTAATATTAAGGAGACCATCCCTGTTATCAGCCCTTGTCATGCTCCAGTTGGCCCAAACGTTGCACATTAAAACACTGCAGGGGTGCAGTCTCTCAATTATCTAAACAATCGAGTGCTTGCATTCAGATTGATGAACCAAATAAAAACCCCATCCCAGAATGCAACATACTTTATTATTCTGCTGCTTAAGTTTTAGTTGGATAAATCTATAAATATATAGATTGATATACTGGCATTCCAGGGAAAGATGACTAAAAACACTGAAATAGAGTCCTTAAACAACGCTGTCTAAGGCTAACCTTTAATCTAACCATTCTGATACAGCAGTTAAAAATAATGTTTAAAAATTTTTTGCTGAACAAAAACAAAGGTGGTAGAGTTGCTATTGTCAGGCCATGGAGGACTGCAGATTCTGCACCCGCTCTATTTGCTCAATTAGGCCCTTTGTTTTGAAGCAATACTAATAAGTAAATCCAAAAAAGCTGATCAGAGATCTATAATACAAGTGAAAATTTTTATTCAAAAACAGTTGTTTTCATTTGATTACTAGCTGTTATATAATTTATAAATAATCATTGGGTAACATTTCAGTGAGCCAAAAAAATCTGTGATGAAGGCCAGTAATGGTTTAAACAAAAGTATATGGTTTACTGGCATTTTGTTTTTTTAACGTTAATTTATAACTTAGTAATATGGTTGTAATAATGCTGTTATGCTGGTCACAGAAATACACTTAAACATCCACAGCCTTGGAAAAACAAACTTGGGCTGGATTTTCAACACTTCATATTTCAAACATTTCTAATAAAATTTGAATTAATTTAATTTGTCTGGTGATGAAAGGGTAAAACCCATATTTAACTTTTGACAGCACACCCTCTGACCTACTTTATGATTCTCATCAACTTGACAGTGGGATGCCCCAAGCTTTTGGACTATGACACTAGGGGTGTGCAAAATAATCGTCATGATGATGCATCGTGATTCTAATTGTTGTGATCTACTGCATCGATTCTTGATGCCACGTATCGATTCTTAATCAACAAAAAGGAATAAATAAAATACATGAATGGTTGGCACACATCAGCCAAAAACGAGTGGAATACAACTTTCAGTCCAGTAGATGTCGCTACGGATACTGCGACGAGTCATTCATAAACAAAACATGGAGACTGAGAAAATTTGCCCGGCTCCATCGCTTTCCAAGTCAGATGTTTGGATGCATTTTGGCTTTAAACACAAAGAAGTTAAAAAGAAATTGATTTGACGCACGTCATTTGCGAAAGAATGTTTCCATTAAAGGACCACTGAGACCATGTAAACGGCACTGTTATTTCAAGTTTTATAAATCCTACGCACTTTTTGTCAGTGTGTCCACGCCAGTAATAGTAATATTTGCGTCCAGTATTTGTTTTCATGGCAATACCTTCAAAAGTCATTTCAATAAATCCAGCTATGTATGAATTCAGTTGCTTTCAGTTATGTATCAATAGAAGGCACGATCCAGATCATACCCAGCCAGTCAGCCACTGGTAATGGCTGTATCTTTTTCTTACAGTGTTCAGTGAAAATATCGCAATGCATCGCAATATTTCAAGTATCGCAATGCATTGTGATAGAATCGCATCGTGGCATGTGAATCGTGATTCGGATCGAATCGTGATTTCTTTGGCAATACCCACCCCTACATGACACCTTCTCTTGGCTTCTACAACATGCTTCTTCTGCAGATGATATTGGACTGTTAGTGTTTTTAAAAGAAATCTGTGTTGGATTTTGGTTTTCACCTGTGTCTGTCTGTCTTTTAATCATAAGTTGTTGTCATTGCATGTTCTCCATGCAATGACAACAAAGCTATATTTAATTATAAATTTAGCAAAAACAAAGCTTAAATGATTAAAAATAGCAGATATTATGCCAGCAGAAAGCTGTAAGTTGTCATGCTGTAGACAACCAGAGTGAGTTAATGGCGTATAAATAAATAAAAAAAGTCACATATTGTGACTATGTAACTTTAACAAGTGTGTAAAACATACATATATAGCTTAAGTGTTTATCACCCCTCTGGCCAAACTATATGTTTTTTACACTTTAAAATGATGAAAACCTGAATGACCCTTTAAAAGGTCTGAAAACAAGGAAGAAAAACCAACACTTTTTTTTACAGTTAGCTACAAAACCACTTTATTGAAAAAGCAGATTATGTCATCTACAGTTAAATGATACGTCCTGATTTTAATACATTAAATAACTTTAGACTTTTTCATGTTTAGATAAATAAATCTAGTTTCCTTTTTTCTTTTAAATGAATCATCTAGTTTATCAAAAACACAGAGCGATACAAAACCGAAGTGAAGGGTGTTGACATGTGCTTGTTGGAACTAACAGTACAAGTGTTTTCTTTCAAAGTGATTTTGATAGGAAACAAATACAAATAGAAAACTAGCCTCTTTATGAAATACAAACTGAAGTAGTACTTAAAAAAAAGTAAATTAAGACATCTTTTAAAGGGATACAATCCATTGTATGTAATTGAATGCCGAAGTCTTCAAGTACAGCATACTTTACTTGAACCTTGCGAGGAAGGCGACGTCGAACATGCTGGAAAGTCTCAGACACAATTTGCAGTCATTTTCTTCACTATACATTACATTCACATGATGACCCCTCCCTTCGCTCTCTGTTTTAAACACATTCAGTAGTAGATATTTACAACTGAGTGTATCACAGCATCACAGTAAGGGTCAGTGTATGCACACAATGGAACGTTTGACGCATCGGTTTCAGGAGGATGGAGATAAAAGCAATGTGAGAAGTCGTAGTCAGGTTTTTAACAGAGAGAATTGGGGTCATCCTGCTGGTTGCTGCGCTGCCCTGCAAACACAGTGAGGTTCATGGGCCTGCCACTAGAACACATAGAGTCTCTCACTATCACACACAAACACATATGAACAGAAACTGTTTGCTCTTTCATTTTCGTTTTCTGGTTTTAAACCGTTAAAATCGGAGGAATGTTTTATAGAGAATCAGTATCAATAAATTTAGAAAATAATATTTCAAAACCTTTTTTTTTTGTAACCTCTGATGTAGTTTCTTCCTCTGGACACACACAAAACACACGCATACTGCAACACATAAGTGCCTGTGATCACGATAACAGAAATAACATAATCAGCAAGGATGGGAGGGGATTCCTTAAAAACACCCGGCTGGGACCAGCAGCTCCGTGATGTCAGGTATCCCCTCTTCCCACGTAACACATCAGCAGACTTCATGCAGAACACAAAGGGACATGCAGGTGCACCTCAAAATATTAGAGTATCATTGAAATGTTTCTTTATATTTTACTAAAAAAATACTTTATGAAAAGCTGAACTTATATATAGACTCATTACACAGAGTGGCAGAATATGTCTGACTATATTTATGGTATTTATAGTCACTACGTATGACCAAAAAAGGAAAAAATGGATATTAATGTCATGTATTAATGTCTGTATGCAGTTACTGCTTCGTAAGAAATAACTGCTGCATTAATGTGGCATGGCAAGGAGGTGACAAGTCTTTGATGATCCTGGATTGCTTATAAAGTACACTTCTTCCTTCCACTCGACTTTCCATTCATATATTTTGATGCACTTCTCTGGGAAACAGTGAGCTCAGTCAAAATCTTATTCTCATATTTTCTGAGAAACCAAATGTAGGTTTTCATTATCTGAAAGCACCCAATCATACAGTTCAAATATTCAAGAATATTTAAGCATATTAGTGGAAAGTTAAGTGGAAGAACAACATATGCTTCCTTCACTCCTCTGCGCCGCTACATGGCAATTACCTCCTTGCTTATTCATTCATGGAAGCATTTAAAGCATGTTTTGTGTAATACATAGACATGCTTCTCATTAGGTGGCTGTCTCAAAATAAAAAAAAAATCTTTAATCATTAAAATAAAATAAATAATAGCTGGTAATATATCCCTCTGTGTATTGAATGTAAATATAGGCTTCACCTTTCAACTAATTTAATGAAATAATTTAACTTTGCTATGAATTTCTAATGAAATGAGATGCACCTGTGAGGACAATAGTGAACAAGTGGAGCCTGCCTAACTTTTATGAAAGCATGCAGTTTGTTTCATCCAACTTTAAGTGGCTTTATTAACATAGATTTAATGAAAGAAGCTGAAATCTAAATGAAAGGAATTCAGAGTAATATGTTTTTTCATTAATATTTTAGACAAAACATTAAATTAGATCCAGTTTCTGAATTTAAATTGTAACAGAGAGGTGCAAAATCCTGCATTGAGTTTAAAATCCTTTTTTTTTTTGGTTCACATCAGCTTAATGTGGATAAATCTGTTTGAAAGTAACACAATGAGCTCTGTGTAAGAACGTCAAGTGGGATGAAACAACAGCATTTTAAAATCTGCTCCAGGTGGATCTCTTGCCTTTCTGACAGACATGAAGAGACTGTAGGAAAATGAATACGACAGACCGAGAAACTGCAGAGGTTTTAGCTACACCTCTGATTTTCGTCACACTCACAGATACGCTTACATAAAAAAATACAATCTACATCTAGGACTTTTATGTGGAAAACGTCTGCGAAATATATATTCATATATAAAAAGACGACCTATGTGCAGCTAAAGTTTTCTTTCTCTCCATAATATAAACATTAACCATTAATTAAGACAATGCTTGTGAATCTCTGGAGGTGTCCTGTTGGACATCTATGTGGAATGTCAATTGGGTTCTCTGGGCTTGTGGTGCTACGTCGAGGCGTTGCAGAGTAGTTGTTCTCACAGCCGTTCATTTGTCCTCACAGCCCTGTGTCATGGTGCCGGGTGTCCTTTGCATAGCCTTTTTTCAGGGCTCTCTTTCAGTGTTAGCAGCTGCACAGAGAGAAAATCGTTCTGAAGGCACCAACCACCCGGTTCAGCCAACACCGGTATGCAATGTCTCCTTTCCTCACTGCAGCGTTCTCAGCCGCGACAGCTCTGCTGTGGAGCTCTTCAGTCAGAACACAGGAAATCCAGGAACTCTTACCTTAAAAAGGTCAAATAAAGGCGTGAGGTCGCTTGGGCCTTTGGGGTTAACCTGCTTTCAGGTTATGCGCCCTAATTCTAAGATGGAGGAGAGGAACGTGAATGGTATTCCTTTCTGTATTTGGGGTTTACCGCAGCGTTCCAGATTTTCCTTACAATGGCTTTCCCACAAACGGAGGCCGGAGTGGGAGTCCGCACCCCTCCACCCCACTTCTCGTATCCTGGATTATCAAGGAGGACAAGCTAGGTCCCCTTCTTACAGTTCAGTCACATGAAGGGGGTAGCTCGGTGGCGGGTGGGCAGGCAGCTTCGACTGGAGTCGTTGGATGTGGCAGCTGTGGCAGAGAAGGTGACCTTCTAGGGGATAACAGCGGTGGCCCTCCTCATCGTTCAGCTGGAGACCACAATCCTAATGGAAAACACAAACATCCAACAAAGATGGTGAATAAACACATTTGGAATGAGCTTCCCTGTTTCTACCTGATAGAACTGTTCCACATTCCACCGACACAACAGCTGCTTTTCTATTCTCTAAAGCGCTCCTGTTTGACAATTTAAGACTACTTAAAAAAATATAAAGGAATCCCTCTTTGAACTTTTGTATCTGGAAACCATTTCAGTTAGAGCTTCCGAATAAAAAAATGAAATGAATGGGAGTAAGCAATTCTTTGCAACCCATTAAACTGGCGTGGACTGTTAGTCATCTGATCAAAGTTTTAAAACCATATAAAAGAAAACAAACATAAACAAACTAAAAACCTCTAAAATGGAAACATAATTATTTATTAGTCATTATAAGTGTTAAGTTTACCTCTTCACTGTTTTTTTCATATCTCTTAGGATATTTTAAGGCATACGGAGAGAGAGAGAGAACACTTTTTTGCCTTTGGTATCAGGAAATCATGACACTGAATGCCCTTCTTTTGATAAAAATTTGGGCCTTAAAGGAATAGTACACCCAAAACATGATAAGCCTTCATTTTCTACTCACCCCCATGCTGAACAACACTCTGGAGTACTTTTTTGATATCTCAAATGCATCTGGAGATCTGGGAGGCTTCTTGCTGTCTGCTGACATTCAAATAATGGAGGTCTATGGTGCCCGAGGCAGAAAGGTCCATAAAAGTCCACAAAAAACGTGTCAATATTCCTCCATACTGCTCGTCCAATGTATTCCAAGTGTCCTGAGTGGGTAGCATCCAGAATTTACTCGAAACGAAGTCATTTAGAATGTTTTTAGAGCATAAACAGTAGTGTATAGGATTTCCTGAAAGCGCGTTCACGAGTCTACGGAAACCGCGGCAGACCAAACCAGATGAAAGTGCGCATTCAGCTCGGCAAAGAACTCCTGCTCTTCCTCAACACTGGAGTCCTCAGACATTTTTCTTTTGTTGTTTCTTTCTTTGCACAGGTAAACAGCACATTTCTTCTTTTACGCTTGCATTATCGGCAGAGCAGACGCTGAATGCGCACTTTCATCTGGTTTGGTCTGCCGGCTTCCGTAGCGTCATTAACGCGCCGGCGCGCGCTTTCAGGAAATCCTATACACTACTGTTTATGCTCTAAAAACATTCTAAATTACTTCGTTTCGAGTAAATTCTGGATGCTACCCACTCAGGACACTTGGAATACATTGGACGAGCAGTATGGAGGAATATTGACACGTTTTTTGTGGACTTTTATGGACCTTTCTGCCTCGGGCTCTATGGACCTCCATTATTTGAATGTCAGCAGACAGCAAGAAGCCTCCCAGATCTCCAGATGCATTTGAGATATCAAAAAAGTACTCCAGAGTGTTGTTCAGCATGGGGGTGAGTAGAAAATGAAGGCTAATCATGTTTTGGGTGTACTATTCCTTTAAAGTTCTGTGGTCTGAGCTGATGAACAGACTGTTAGAATTTAATGATTTTTCACAAGAAGTTGTTCAATAAACGTTCTCTTTTTTTTTGCCTCACTCCCAATTTTTTTTTCTATTAGCATATAGGAGTTCTACTTTTTAAGATCCAACAGTGCACGATGGGAATTATTGCCAATTATCAACTGGTCTTAAATGTTTGATGAGGGTAGGTACATATTTAACCATTTTTTAACATGAAAAACCACAAACATTTTTGCACATTTTTCCTCACAGAAATGCTTGAATAATGAGTTTCTGTTCACATCTTAGTCTTTGACTGGGCCATTTTATAACAGAAAAAGCTTTGATTCACACTATTGCAGCTCTGGCTGCAGGTTAAGTGTCACTGACCTGCTGGAGGGAAAAACTTCACCCTATTCTGAATTCTTCTAAATTTACTATTATGTTTCTTTCTGTTAGGTCAGATCAGCTTTATTACCCCTGCAGAGGAAAAGCACCCCCACAGAAAGATGTTTTAATCACAAATACTATTTGTGTGAGCATGCTGAAAAAGTTTAGGTGTGGTTTCATCTGAGCTTAGCACCTTAATCAACAGAGTTGCTGCATATTCTAGACAGAAACCTGTGGATTTTTTTCAAGAATAGAAAAACCAAAGAGACAAAATGTAGGACTAAAAATGCTCCCGCCACGTGGGCAAATAAACCTGCAGGTCCAAACCACCTGTTTTGGTAAATTTGTAGCTGTCTCATGCTCTTTCTATTTTTAAATCATAGTTCCACGTCTCCCTGTGTTTCTCCCTGTGATTGCAGCATGTCTACTTTGCAGTACTTTTTTTGTTTTGTATTTATGTATTATGCAGTGTGTTTGCACCCCTGGGCCGTGTACTGATGCCTTCACAGAACAGCTGGATTTATACTGAGGTAAATTTAAAGCAAATGTAAAACAGTCCTCTATTAATGCTAAAGGTAATTGTTTACACTTGTTTTTTTTTAAGGGTATTAAAATAGAAGCGGGTGAAAACAAAGGTTAACATGCTTTTCAAATGTTAGCAAAATAAAAAAAAAAGCAAAACTTTGTATTGATCATTAGCATTAAAACGTGAAAACATTTGAAATAGTTACAAAGTAATTTTTGCACAGCGCTGGGATGGGAGAGTGCAATGTAACATCTTCCTGTGGTAGATTTTCTGATGACTAATATATCAGCATTAACATCGTCCAGCATTGTTGGACATTTTGAAACATAGGCTGATGTTAACCAATGTTTATTTCCATCCTGTTTCTACTCATATTCCAGGAGCTTTAAATGATATTCACTTATCCTGTCACTCTGCTATACAGTTTTAGTTTTGCTTAATCTAATGGCTGCTATCAATCAATCAATTCTGACACGGTTGACCATCATTATCTAATAACATGCCTGATTAAATTAATAGGGATCCAGCAAACCAACATATTCTCATTATGAGTGCGTATGAAATCGTACGAAAAGTTATGCACACTATTTCGTACGTTTTGGACGTTTTTCCTCAAAAAACCACATCAGTGCGCATGCGCTGGCAGACAGAAAAAAAAAGCAGATCCGCGGACGGACGTAAAAATGGGAAAAACAGTGCAATCATCACTTATTTATGTCTCTAACTACGTTGCTTGCTGTTTTCTATCTTAGGGTTAGGGCTAATTGTAATTTATATTCTATATTCGTGAATGGTGCGTCAGATGCGCATGCGCATACGACGAAAAAAACGTCCAAAACGTACGAAATTACGGTGCATAACTTTTCGTACGATTTCATACGCACTCATAATGAGAATAAGTTGAGCAAACTGCTCTTTATTGGTTCAGATCATATGTGACCCATCGATCGTTCTGTGTCAAAATTGTCAACGCTGAATCATCTAGTGCTTCTCTGTCCTATGGGATCCCACAAGGATCAATTTTAGGGCCCTGCTCTTTTTATTTGCTGCCACTCGGTTCAATACTGACAAGACATGGTATTGATTTCCATTTTTATGCTGATGGATGCCAAATGTATTTGCCCCTTAAGCAGGGAGATGTTTTTTCAGTGATGTCTTTATTGAACTGTTTAGATGACAGTAAAGCCTGGCTGGCCCTGAAGTTTAAATTTTAATGAGAAGAAAACTGAGGTTATAGTGTTTGGATCTAATAGCCCTTGCGATTCTACTGCTATAGAACTAGGACACCTGAAACCATATTTTAAATCAACCGTCATGAACTTGGGTTTTAAGGTGGGCAGTAATTTTAAATTGGGAAAGCAAATTGAAGCAGTTGTCAGATCTTGCTTTTATCAGTTAAGACAATTGGCAAAACTAAAACCTTTTCTTTCATGGCTGCCCTTTAAAACAATTATCCATGCTTTTATTTCATCTTGATTGGATTATTGTAACGGACTCTATGTTGGTGTGTGTCAGTCTTTGCTGTCTCAAATAAAGATGATGATGAGGTCATCATGGGGTCTGAGATGGGAAATGTGACAGTGATCGTGGTGTAATTGCAGTATTATATCTACCCAGATTTTCATATTAGTGCTTCCCTATGGTTCATGCTGGAGCTCATTTCTCTGTGAGTTTACAGCGCTAACAGGATTCAAGCAGAGAGGGGAAAAAAAGCTCGTAAATACAAAGTGAATGAGGTTAGAACCTCTTGGCTGCATATTTTCATCATTTTCATGAATGAATGCAAAAGCCCAGAACCTGCTGAGCAGCCAGGATTACTCTTTAAACCCCCCCCGCTGAGAGATCACTGAACAAGCTGCAGGAATAATAGAAACCCGTGACTCTGGACAGAAGAAAAAGAGCAGAATGCATTAACTGTAAGCATGTTTTAAATTTGAATGTGTAATCATACTTTATACTGTGTCCAATGTAAATCAAGGCTTGTGGTCATTTTCACAATATCTAATGAATTTACAGAGTCCTGAATGATTAAGCTGCAGACTTCAACCTCTTCCTGCAGGACTTGGTTCAATGATTGTCTTCCGCTTACATTATAATCCATCTGTTGTTACATTAGCAAGCCTTAACCCACTGCGTCTGCTGACAGTGATAGTAAAAAACTTATTTCAATAGGAAATTGAAAAAATAAAATAAAATAAAAATAACAGCAAGCTGGCTCGATTTGATTATTTCCCTCCAATAATTTTTGTCATTGTTGAATAACAAAGTTGGTGCCTATGAACTATGATCAGCTTGGAGTAGTGTCTATAACTGTGAATTATTCTCACGGGCTGCAAAAATCTAGTCCTTATTGACAGTTTGCAGTCCTCAGACAGGCTGACAATGTTGACTTAGTGGATGTGTGAGTGCATTAGCTCTTTGTTTGTTTTTTATTCATTCCAGCATTCAGAAGAGCTGAATCATACCCAGTCATACTAGAGATCATCCAGTCTAGTCTTGCTACTCGTGTGTGTGAATGAGGACTTTGTCTCACCTCACAGTGGTAACACTCCACATGGTAGTCCTTGTCCATAGACACGACCCGGATGGTTTCCTCAGAGCCCTGCCAGAACAGAGTCATAGTCAGGGTTTCTCCTTTGTTGGAGCAGCTGTTTTATTAAAGTAATGGAGCAACTTTCCAAAAAAAGAAACCCCTCACTATCTTTAAACCAACGTAAAAGTAAAACAGCTCCTCTCTGCTGACACACAACAGCTAATAAACCGTCTGGTGACAAAGTCTGAAGGATATCAGCTCAATCGGATATAAAAACTTAAATATTCGTAAATAATAGTAAAATTCCTAAAACATTAAAGCAGATAAGACACTCAAAGTTAATCAGAAAGAGGCTCAAAATAAACTCAAAGGCAGATGAGAGATAATATATTCCGAAAGTTTCAATTTTTGTGATTTTATTTTTTTTGGTTCATTTGGGCTTTAAGAGAAAGAGAGAGATTACTCTTCTGCCTTCTCTAGAATTTTTTCAAACGTTCACTTCTAAATTATGAACTCTGCTGTAAAACATTGATAAAACCAACAGCATCTGCTGCTGACAAGAAATACCTTGAATGCTTTAGCCTGAGCTCTTCTTTCAAATTTAACTTCTAAGTCAGTTCAAAGAGGAACATAAATTGGCCACAAAATTCTGATCAGTGCGTCTAATTTTCTTATATAAGATGGATAGAGTTGTAGCAACAAAACTACTACTAGCAGTTATCTGTTATTGTTTACTCATTTCTATCCAGCAACTTTTCAGTATTTGGTGGAATCTGACCAAAGAATATTGTTAGGTTTATTTAATGATGATTATGAAATGAATGTGTGTTTATGAAACATTTGTGCGAGGGGATGTTCCACTCCTGTGTCAGGATTCAGTCAGGAGTCCATCCTGCCTTGTCATTCTGATGGAGCATTCTGTCTTCTGCAGAAATTGTATCCATAATTGTGTATTTCAGTTCTTCCTTTTTCAAAAAACCTACATTTTATGAACCCGACAAATATAATCATGCACCATTCAGATTCTCCATTAAACTTTAAAACCTCCAGATAAATGCCTGCAAAGAATATATTGTGCTTTATTTAATGCAATATTCTAAGACTTTCCAAACATTATTTCCTGTATATTCTGTTAAACATTAGTTTTAAATTAATTTATCTGTTCCAGAACTGCTCCAGCTCTTACTGCTCTTCATTCACATCATTAAAAATACAAACATCAAGCTCTGAATAAGCTGTAATTGCTAAATCAATTTGTCTTGGTGACAAAAATGCCAACATGGTTATTTCTGCACAGCTAAAATAAGCAGCTTTGTTTTCTTTTAATTTCCTGGATGAGCTTAACAATCTGTCTCTCACTTTCTTCATTTTAAAAGCACATGTCATCACTTTGAAACCCTCCAAACAAACCTGTAAGCATTTTCCCAACTGAAAATCTCTGAAGCAAAGTATAACTGTACTACGTGACCTGAATACAGTACACATATTCATCAAACTTGATGCAGTGCTCTTTAAATTGGCCATTCTGGCTCTGAGCTTTAGGCTGACTGAACTCTTTTCAAAGCCACTCCTGCTGTATACAACTCATGAAATGTGGACATTGCTTCAGTTAATTGGCTCTAATTGTAATAATCTGTACAGAAAATACATTAAACCGCAAAATCTTTGTTGCAGCAGCAAACTTTGACTCCGAAAACTACAGGGAAATGAAAAATTCAGCTAAGAAAATCTAACTGTATGGTTGTTTGGTTTCTCCGTATCCATGCTTAGTGTTCCTCCATGCCTTTCCGGGGAGTACCCTGCCTCTCGCCCAATGACCGCTACAGATAAACACCAGATCCCTCACAACCATGGATGGACGAGTAGGAGTAGCAAACGGATGAATTTCTTTACAAAAGACAGAGTTGACTTTACCATTCAGGTTAATTGTTTACATTTTTTCATTTAGTAACTAATGGCTCCAAGATGATTATTTCCAGCAGTGTCTCCTCAAAATGGGAAACACAAGAGAGCAGGCCACTCAAGCTAAGCAGAAACATGTTGCTCTTCACTACAAAAGAAAGTGCTACAAGCAAACATCTGCTCTGATAAACAAACCTAAATATACAGGAATAGTTATTACTCATCATTCTACGATCAACGTTCGTACTATATAGCAAAACCATTTTGAAAAGCAAAGTTTTTCTGCAATCATTGAAATGTTTAACTCTCTTTTTTATCAAAGGTGAATAGAAATCCTTGAAGTATAACACATTATTGTTTTTTTCCTCCTGTCTTTAACAGTGAGTGTTAATTAGCAAGGCTCACAGTGAAAAAAAAACAACTGATGTTTTTAACTTAACAGACTCCCCAGGACCTATATAAAAAAACAAAATTAAGATGACTGTTTTTGTATCTTTACCTGGGCTGGAAGGATGGGCTGGTTGCATGAAGCACACTTTGGAGCAAAAACCCTGGATTGGAGGAGACCAGAGGAGAAAACATGAGCCTCATTAGTATCTGTGTGTTCCTCTATTAGTCCATTACTACTCCTAACCAGCACAAAATGGACTCCCAACACCAGTGGCGGTTATAGATCTTAAAGGGTGGGGCAGAGTGGTTTCACGGGGGCACAGAAAAGCATGAAATAAAAATCAGGGCAACAGTTTAACATTTAAAATACATTGACAGAGCTGCAGAACCAAAGAGCTGCTTGTGGTTCCGCAATGAATGAAGTGAAATTTGTACATGATTGAGTTTAAATAAAATTGCAATGTTTTCTCAATAACATTTTTTTATTTTTTTTTTACTCTGAATATAATATCAAAAAGCTGAAATAATGTGTTGCTAAATAAATAAATATCTACTTGAAGATGGAATTAATTTTTTTTTTTCTGGAGTATTAGGTAAATGTAAAACTATAGTTCAGGTTTGTTACATATTTTAACTTTTCTTTAATGAAAATTACCAATTTTAATCAAATAAAAATGAGCTGTAAAAAATTTGTGTATTTTTTTATTTGGTTCAAAACAGATGGAAATAGAGATTCTGTCTTAATGCAAGTAAAGGTTTCGACTTAATTTTAAAACCAACAGAACTTTGAAAAAGAAAATTACATGGATCCAAGTGGGATCTATCAGAAACTATGTCTGCCTCAGTCTAGAACCTCCCATTCCCCACACATCACCTTCTTGGCGTTATCAACCCTTTCTAACTGCAGCAGACGGTGGTATTTTCCTTACGTGTGGTAGTCTTTGACACAGTAGATGTTGTTTTCCACATCTACAGTGAAAGGCACTCCGTCTAAGCCCTCTTTGCACACGACGCAGCGGAAGCAGCCCGGATGGTAGGACTTGCCGAGCGCCTGGAGGATCTGAGCGGCCACACAGGGAAGAAGAAACAGTCAGACTCAGTAGGTTATTATCCCTTCCCACAATTCAATATTTTGTAGAAACACTTTTTGCTGCTAATTGCAGCAGAATAATGCATTTTATGATTTATCTTATTACCAGTTTCCTTCGTTTTTAAGTTCTTTAAAACTCTCTACAACTTCATCCCTGACCAACCCGCCAACAGCTGTATTAACACTCTGCACTGACTTAGCCAGTAATATGCAGTGAAATGTATTAAAGGTAGGAGACTATGATAGATGCTACTCTTTTTAAATTTTTCTATCTTTTTTTCTGTTGGTCTGTTTCACGAAATCCTAATAGATCCACTGAAGTTTGTTGTTGGAAACGGCAAAAACGTGCAAATGGGTGTTAAGGGGTGAATGCTTTTTGCAATGCGCTGTCTATTTAAATATCTTCTCAAATGAAGAGAAAAGGTTCCTACCATCTCCATGATGAGGTGACCACACACAAAGCACTTCTCAGCCGTCTGCTGGAAGCCGGAGTACTGTGGGGAAAGATGAAGAGCAGTATTTACTTCCTTCAGCTCAAATAGATGGGTGGGTTTTTTAACTGCATCAGCAAAAATATCTCCTAACCACCTATAGGGGGAGCTCCTGCGCTCTTTCATGAACAGGTTGTGTTTCTAAGCCATCATCTGTTACAGGAAGGGGTTCTGCTGTTACCATGTTGGTACTTTTTCACTTCCAGGGAATCAAATTGAATGGATTAAGTGTCATTTAGGGTTATTGTTATAAAAACACCTCACATCAGTCTGCTAATTCCTTCCAGAGCTCCGTTAGATATTAAAAGTGACCATCTGCAGCACACAGATCCCCCCCCAGCACCCTGAGGTCATGACCTGATGACACTGAGGGCTTGACAGAGGAGACACAGCTACCAGGTGGAGGTGGGAGGTGGTGACGCTTCTCCAAATCAACCATCTGCCACCGACCAACCAATTCCCCTGCAGCCTACAACCCCCCCCCCCCCCCCCCCCCCCCCCCCCCCCCCCCCCCCCCCAGGGAAGCGTGGTCAAGTCTCAGCCACAGGAGGGAGACGGAAGGCGATTAGCACCAGCCGGGTGGTGATGGTGTGCTGCAAAACCGGAATTTCAGTGTTTCCTAACATATCAGTGGGTTAATCTTTAAGCGGAAGCTGTCCAGAAACAGGAAGTGTAGTCAGCAACATGTGTTATGTGTTCAACGACATCAGGAGGCTGTTTTTGGGAACCGTCGGGTGCATCTTCCTCTATTGGCTGAATTCCCCTGCTTTACTTTAGAAGTAGAAGAAGTAGAAGAAATTCAATTTCTTTTGTTTTCACTCCAAACTTTTAAACAAACGTGAGTCCAGGCACCATGACTGCGGTCGCCGTGTCTGCCCTGCTAATCTGAAGCAGATGGAGACGGGCGGTTGTCCAACAACCCCTCTGAGCTGTCTGTGGTGAGAATGAGCTCCTGGGGGAAACTAGGTGAACTGGGTCTAAATTGGGGGGGTTGGTGCTGGAATTTCCAGGTCCAAATTTGCACCATGAGGTTAAATTCCCAAACATGAACGAGGACCAACTCACCAAGAAGTCTTCCTCACAGTACACCTTTCCATTGACGTTGTAGAAGGCCTTCCCTCGCAGCCTCCTCCCTGGAAGACACCACAAATGTATTAGTAAAGAAAGTTACCTCGTATTAAACAGATAAACTCCAGTCATTGAGGAGTTTATCCGTCCCCAACAGCTTGTGGACATTTTTACCATAAAATGAGAATGTAAAGTAGCTCCTTGATCCAGCTGTTTCGGACCAGAGACTCATCTAACATTTGCTGAACATCACCCTTTGAGGTCAGGATTTTGACAATTTGGCCCCAACACAAACACATTTTAGGTATACCACCTTCCAAAGAGCCATATCCAAAAAACACTTGTAACCCGTTCCATTGCCACATCCCATCCACACAAGGTACCTCCAAGCTTACAACCTCATCCTTCTGCAGTACACCTACTTATATGGCAGGCTGGACTCTTCCAACACTTTAAAACCAAACATTCAATTTACTAAAATATTTTAAGAGAACTCAATTTTCATCAACTTGTTGTCAACCCTTTATAGGGCAAGTTACCGTTCTTGAGTAATTGAGTCCCCCCATCCCTCAGTAAGGTCTAGAAGCACAAGATCTATATCCAGCCATTCAGCAAAAATACTACTACTTGTTATTTTTGCATTTGACCAATTAGATGAACCCTTGAAATGATATATCTACTGCAAATTAAGTTGAAAAAAAGTTAACAGGTCAAGAAAAAAAAAGTAAAAAGCTAAGCAAAAAAGTTCAAAAGTTAATAATCTAGGTTAAAAAAGTTAAATTGTAAGTACCTATATCAGCATTAATGCAATAGGCTTTTACTCTTTGATTGTTTTTCATAAATTTGTTATAAAATTTTGGTTATTTTTTTTATATCTTAGAGCAAGCGACCATTTCTTGTTATTACACCTCAACTTGAATGTTACAAAAGTAACTCATGGCTTGAAATTTTGATTTTTAAAGTATTTCAATGAGTGCCCTATAAAGAGTTAAAACTCATCTAAAATAAGTAGTGTGAGCTATTGGACAAAAGATCCTTAAAAAATATATTTAAGTTGAGTCCATGCAAAAAAAGTTAAGTGTTTGAAAGAAGTGGTAACCTGCTTTATAAGTTATATTGATTGTGAGTTTTGACAGTTTAATCATACTTTCTATGTATGATTAAACTGTCAAAACTCAACTCACTCAATGTTGCAGTATTGTTAGTTGTTACTTAGTGTAACTTGAAACTAGTTTTGTGAATAATTTAATCCCTAAATGAGCAGGTCTCATGTTGATTTTGCACAGTTTCTATCTTAGTTGGTTAAATAACATGCTGCTGTCATTCTGCACATCTCTGATGTTGCTGCTATTTTCAAATATCCATTACTGTAAAAATGTCCAAAGCTGCATATTGGTTATTTCCCAGGTGCAGTTTTATATTGTTAAATCACTTTATAGTACAGTATTTTATTATTTATCATTTAACTCTTCATTATTATGTTCTTCTTATATATTTTTCTAAGGTCAACATTTGTGACCATTTTTTCTATAATCTTTTTCTCTGCTGTGAACACCAGAATTTCCCCATTGTCAGACAATAAATGGATTTGCTATTCTATTCTATTCTATTCTATTCTATTCTATTCTATTCTATTCTATTCTATTCTATTCTATTCTATTCTATTCTATTCTATTCTTTAAAGCTGGGCTGAACAAGCGTGCACTGGACTCAATCAACCAACACAGATGTTTTTAGTGAAAAGAACACAAAAGTTTTATAAGCATAACTTAAAAGTTCTTTTGTACTCTTTTTTGAGTAATCTGGACTTTAAAAGAAAATGAAAACATTAAATGGAAATGGATAATCTTTAAGTAAAGTTGGTTTATTCGAAAGTAAAAATAACTTAACATTTTCATAGTACTTCCCAACATATTAAAGTTGACTCCATTTTTTGAGGTAATCCCCATCCACATACATTTTGATTCCACTTAACTTACTCAGCTTTACAGGGAAACAGTTGAAGAATATTAACTGGTTGAATTTAGGCGATTTAAAATCATTTGTGTTGATGGCTGGTAAACAGGTTCAAAAGTTTGGTGGCTTGAGTTTTTTCTTGATAAAAGAGGAGCGATTGATGCAGAGTCACATCCTAATTGATTTTAACTGAACGGAGTGACGTAGCTGTATATTTTCTTTATACAACTTAGAGCTACTTGTCTTACAAAAAGTTACATTAAACCTTTAGTAAATCTGTGCAATATATTGTAAATCGAACTGTAGAAATGACCAAATCCTTCTCAGCTGCAGATAAACAATGAGATGGTTACAGCCTTACCACACATATATATATATATATATATTATTTTTTTCATCCACTGTTATCTTTATACAGCAATCTCAATCAAATTAAATCAATCAATTAAATCTAAATCAGTTATGGTTCAGAAACAGCACCAGCAGACAGGGAGTTCTATTCTATCACTGTTTGATGCCTGAAAAAGCCGACAGTAAAACAAAAGTTTAGTTCCCCTTTGCTTCATGTCCCTGCTAGTTTAGAGCAGCTATAGTTATTATGTGTCATTGCAGTTTATCAGACTTCACTGCATGTGTCTGTGTGAATGACCCGGCTGCAGCAGGATCAGGGCAGATGGTTTAGATGGGAAATGTGTGATTTTAAGTGTTGATTTACTTAATGCCACCATGAGCTTCATCAACATTTAAACAAATCAATACAACATACACTTTATTTACCCAAACGTCCTGCTTTGTCGTTTTCCTGCTAATGTTATTAAATGATAGATATCCCAGCATTGATGGATTTGACAAAGGAGACATTCCTGTAAAACCTTGGAGTCATATTTCAACTTCACTGCTAAAATGCGTTTTTTTTAAGCTGCCATTTCCGATCTGAATGCTAGCTTTTGGCATCACGGCTTTGGTGTTCAAAAAAACATGCAAGTAGCGGCTCATTGCGGCTGGGTTTTTACTAGTATGAAGACTGAATTCCTGTGGCCGGGCTTTCATTCACCAGAATCCAAGTGTGAACCCAGTCTTAAAAGAAAAAAAAAAAAAAAGTACTGCTAGCTGGCTTTTGCAGCCCCCCGCCATGCATCTCACACAACTAGTCTATTGAAATTCATGTACCAGCGGCCGTGTTTCTCTGGCAGCACGATAACTTCACCCAGAAGCCTGGCAGACGAAACCCATGGATCCCATAAATCTGCTGGATTAGTCAGATTTAATTGTATTCAAGAGTCACCACTGGTTTTATTGGTCTCGCACTATGGACACCCCCTCTGCGTTCACAGCCACCCACTCCCATCTTTCTTGGTTTTTAATAATGAAATAATGAAATCTGCTAACAGAAACTTGAGGAGGGATGATGTTTGCTCAATTTGTGGGAGTTGTTAGATCACCTTTCCTTTTTTTGTTTTGTTTCAGAGCCTTTTTTTGGGAGCAGAAAGTCTGCAGGACAGCGTCCTGAAAAGTGAGAGAGTGGATGTGCTCTGCTCACCACTTTCTCAGAGGTCTGGTCTGTGGCCTCTGCGCTCCAGTTTGGGCTCTAGAAGGTGAACACAAAGGCCCCAGTTCTGATGACTGTGTGGAGCGCTGCTAGGGGAGCGGGACGACTGAGCAAACGGGGACATTCTTTCTGTCTGAGGTCACTAGCTGGTCCCATTCAGCCCCCCCACCCCTGCACCTCTCCAGCACCCGCTTCCCTAACTGAGAATAACGGAGAAAGAAGAGGGGGTGGAGGGCTCCGTGCCTTCTTCTCCCCCCATCCCTGTGGCCTTTTGTCAGCAGACAGCGCTGCAGAGAGGCTGAACATCCTCAGTGTTTCAGGGGGATACTAAAACTATCAGCTCCGTTAAGAATTTACAATCTTCTAGGAGCTCGATTTAAGAACTAAGCCCTTCTTAGTACTTAATGCAATTGGTTTAAATCCGGGATCAGACATTTCTTGATCAAAACAGAAATGCTGCTCGAGTTCAACATTGACTCTTACTTTTTGTCATCTTTTTAGAAACAGTTTCTCTAAATTTAAACCTAGAATATACAATATGCATGACGGACGTTAATTGATGCAGCAAAAATGACAAAAAAAATTAATAACCAATAAAACAATTACGACTGATGGAGATCACACATCTAGCCAAAAAAAAAGTCTCTTACTATTTCCTACCTCTGTTATGAACTCCTTTACAAACCACTACACCATAACATGTACTTTTCACAATGACAAACAACTTAGTGTACTTTGTGATTAAGTATTTTTGTGAGTAAACATGATGCACAATCATAAAATTTTACAAAACTCCCCCCAAGTTGTTCTTACGTTAACATGTCGGTTATTAATGGCAATGTTGCTTCCAGCCATGTTTACGTGCATGAAAGGCATGACTGTGTGGTGCCCGGAGAGCAGCGTGGAGCTAAGGGTCTTGCTCAGGGACCCAGAGTGGAGGCTTTGGGGATCGAACCAGGTACTTGAACCCTTTTCAGAGCACAAGCGCACTGCTAGGGGAACACCGAGGCCATCACCTCCCCCATTCATTAACTATAATATGACAGAAAAGACCTTAAACTTTCAGGTAGTCGAAGCGGTTTCCCTTAGCCTCTTTCACAGGCTGCATTCTTCAAGAAATCGTCTACCTGGACTGGATCCTTGGAGGTCCTTGAAAATAAGGAGGCTGGAAGAGGATTCAAACAGGTCCAGCCTTCTATGGCTTTGAACGCCCGTATGCTCTGTCGCCTGACAACTGTTACAGTTGACACACAAAGCAGGCAAAGACTGGATGCAGAACTTCTCACTACTGTTCTGGGTGCTAAAAACATTTCTGAGGAGCTTCAGCAGCCGTACCACTATTGCAGATATCAGATTTATAGTCCCCACACAGCAGAGATGTTGGAATTTGTGCTTAAATGTCGAACCCATTTACACAGGGACAGATAAAACCTTTTAATAAACATCACCACATATCTGACTCAATAACCATTTAAAACAACTATTTTCATTTATTTCAGACATAACCATTCACACACTTTTTTATTATATATTAAACGTATAATAAACTGCACTTCCAAT